GGGGGGGGTTGGCGGTGACTTACCAGATCATATTTTGCCTGACTAAAAAAATGATAACATATGTTCAATGTCGGTGGAATCACCGCAGTCTCCTGGTACTCACATTGGGTTTTAGCCTGTAACTTGCATTTTTTTTCGGCCTCGATCAGTATAACCGAGCTGTATGTTCTCCAACAATTAAGATATGAGCCTTTCTGACTAGCACCGCCGCGCAGGAATTATTGAACTCTGGTTGCTAGACGATACCAGACGTCCTCCCAAAATACCACCGCCCCTCAGGTGATATTACACAGGCCAAAATTACTTTTGTAACTACCATTTCTTAGCCTACAGGCCTCTACCGGCACTCAACCCAACATCTCCCGTCTCCTTTAGTCCAAGGAATATACCGACGCCCGTCAATCTCTATCCCACGTTGATCCTGCGTCGTGCTCCTCGCGACAATACCGCGTACGGGCTATCCGAACCATCCCAAAAGAGCGTCGTCCCGATGACGGTTCGCCCCGGCTGTGTTCGCCACACTGGAGTCGTTTCATGGGCGCTGGACGAAACATTGGCAAAAAATGGTGGCGGCCTCGTCTTCGGCTGATCGCCCTACGTCAAATGCAACGTGGTCGCGTGCCGGCCGACGTCAAATGCAAGTTGTTCATCCCGACCACCTCGCTAAGATTCACTAACTCGACGAAATTTTGGCCGCGATAACCAAAACAACTAGAGACGGCTACTTGGCCCGAGGCTGCCATCGCTGTACGGCTTGATTAGCATCCCTTGACGTGTAATCCGCTTTATGCGCACGTTACGCCACGTAGCAGCTAAGTTAGGCGGCTACTTTGTCCCGAATTTTCGGTTCGGACTAAATCATTAACAGTTCATTCGACCGGATGTACTACGCGGACCCGAAAACGTGCCAGATGGTCTCGGCGACGACAAAATCTACACTTTCTTTGGTAAGCTTGGACTCAGTCCGTTGACCGCACCTACGTATCAATTCGGGGCGTTGATGTCTCGCGAGATGGCAGTGTGGTTTCTGTCGACGACAGCTCGCGATACCTCATGTTGATGGACACCACCGCGCTGAGAGATATTCTTTCCCAGGATTCTCGAACCCGTGTTTGTTCAGCATTAGAACTGTATTCTTAAAATCCCTCCTCCTATTGCTGCGATAAAGGCCCCAGGATCGCGGAACGTCGTTAGGGAAGGATCAACTTCGACTGATACCCCCAATAATGCCAGGTGAAGAGACTGGTCATGCGCCGACCCCACTCCCCTTCCAGTCGATACAACAACCACAGATGACAATAATCCCTCCGAAGCCACTCAAACCCAGTACTTGAAGTGGCAAAGGCGGAAAACAAAGCTCCGTTCTATGATTGGGTTGATGCAACGAGTAGCAACGTTGTTCGATCACACCGAGTCCTTGACACCGGACTACAGGACTCTCCCAGCTGCTACACACTACCAAGTGCCACAATCTCAACGAGCCGATGGCCGAATGAGTTTCGGCATTCCCTGTAATCCAACGCGTTGCGAGGTTTCGCTTTTAATGATTCAGATAAAGAGAACAACGCAGAAGACACAGATGCTGATGTTTTTGCCGATGGGGGCATAGTATCGACCACGCCATTGAAATAGACCCCTGCGGTTAGCAGTCTCAATTCGGCCAACTCATTCCTACCCGTTCGCTTTGCGAAGAAGCAGATTGAAACTGAGGAAAATGTCTGCTAGTGCTCAGCTTGATTTTGCGCAACTGAAAGACCCTGAGAGTCGCCTAGCAGCAATCTCGGCTTAACTCATGCAATGGAAATCGTCGTGAATGAGAGTAGCCGCATGTCGAGGTGGCTGTTAATGAGCATGCTGTGCTGCTCGCTTATGCTGGAGCCACCCTCGACTGCCCACGGCACAGGCATGAAACTGCGTAGCCGTATGAAAATCGCCCAGTTCGATTCCATCTGCTGGGGATATGTTGGCGAAACCGTACCCAGCTTCAGAGGTTCATAATACTGCGTGTGTTTACGCGTTAACAGATTTGTATCTACAAAGCCATGCGCCTACCATTTATCATGACCCCATTAAAGTAGCTGTTCTAGCCGGTACGATCAAGCCAGACTGCCATATTTGCACTTCCTTATGTGGTCAGTCGAATTACTTCAAACTCTTTGGTCCGATGAGTTCGGTGGACACTTTGATACGCACCTGTCAGATCAAATGGAATCTGCGGTTGGAATTTCTACAGCGTATGTTGTTTCGGACGAAGAGAACATAGTTATGATCACCTTGGGGAATTCGAATGTGAAAGAGGGAACGGCCAACACTGCTTCCCTAGAGGGAGTCATGGTGCCGGAATGGTATCACCATGAACATCAATGGATGAAATGATCCAAACCTACACTTGTTTCAAAACTAATTAGTCTGTTCTTGCTATCTAATAAACCAAATTCCCCTCCAGTTTACAAAATGGCTACATGAAAATTGGTATTTTCGATTTCTGAAGCTTCTACCGCAAAAGTCGGCTCCAGTGCGACAAACGGTTACAGTGCGACATCACCAAATGTAGGGTCGACACCCCTTCTTCTAGAGTATGAAATAATTTTGCTGATTGAATCACCAGTCAAACAAATAATAAAAGTATAAAATAAAACTGTAAAATAAACGGGTTTTTTTATGAAAGCAAACAAAAGTGCAATTTTATTCAGCAAAACCTACATCGTCGATGTCCGAAGCATCATCGACAACTGCAGCTTCTGGCAGTACGTGCCGGTACGTTGTGAAGACGTCAGACGCATCTCTAGGACCTTTAGGAAGCCGTTTTGCCCGTCGAAAACCTTTTTTTTTTTTTACAATGCTTTTTTGCCTTGACCATGCCCCATGTTTTCGCTACCCAGAAAGACAGCATCACAGGGCGTTCTGCTGTATCGGTTGGGAAAGGAAGCTCGGTATGATAATGCACGTAAAGATCTCTAAAACTGTACACAAAAATCTTATCAAAAATTAGTGAACAAATAAAACAATAAAAAACTTACTCGATCTTCTTCAAGTTCCGAATTACGCTGACATCCATTGGCTGACGAAGGGCAGTAACACCCGATGGGATGTACTGAACCTGTGTCGTGCACTCGGTCTCGAACATTTCGTGAATGCTTGTCATCTTGTGAGCTTTTAGACTGTCCAAAAGTAGCATTCGGCACCCGGTGACACTGGGACGCCAGATCTAATAAATTAACAAAGAAAATCCTAAATTAGACAATAGATCCAAATCAATAAATGAGACAAGTATACTTTGAAATCCATTCCTTCATAATGGATTGGTCACACCAGGCTTTTTCTTTTATTGTATGCGCGTTTTTTTATCCCTTGTGCGTAACGCGCCGAATGAAAAGGCTATTTCTCCTTAGAAATCGCGCAGTCCATGATTGAAGGCCAACATAGTTGCGAGACTGAGTACAGACTGGATCGAACTTTGCCATCATTAAAATTAAGCATTTCGTAGTTACGCAAAGTTTGCGTTTTTTCTCATTTCTGTAACATATTCAAGAAGCCTAGACATCACAGCTAAAAGATTAGAAAAAATAAGAACTAGAAAATGAAAAAAAAAACTTTTTTCTAAATCAGGATAGCGCACTCGCTATGCTTCGTGTGCCTTTGGATTTACGTAGAACTTGCTTTCATTCTTCTTATTATCTTCTAGTTTGTCTTTTGCTTTCTCCAGCGGTATACAGACGAGCGATGCACGCCATCGGTACCTCTACAGTGGCTACAGAGTTTGTTTTTGAGGCTTCGACTCCCTATTATATTGTTTCATTAAAATGACTTAGAATTAAGTAAGGGGTTTGTGATACGCAATTATATACATTCACCTTGGCCTGTTTTTAGGGCGGCACTGCATTGTGTGCTTGTGTGATGTGTGGGGAAGGCGGGAAGTTTGCACAATGGCGTGCCACTGGTTGTGAGGACGGAAGTCGATCAAGCGGGTCATTTAAAAAACCTCGTAAGTTTTTCTTAAATGACTTGATTTTTACCGCTAATGGGTGTCGCACTGGAGCCGAATTTTACGGTAGAGGGCCTACAGGCAATCCGAGGCCGGAATTGGACTCGCCTCGTCAGGGCAGTTTTCGGGCCAAATCACTCATTCAGCACTTGCGTGGTCCGGTGCCAAATCAACAATGACGGCCGCTCCTAAAACGAATTAGTTGTCAAAGGTATACCTTTTGAAGTATGGCCCCGACGACTCCTGAGCTACTCACAGCTCTCTACGGCAGCATATACTGCACTTATCGGGCAGAGTCGTCCGCAGGTGACACTTTGGTGCTTAGGACCTCACTTGATTTCCACACGTCAACTACATGTTGCATATGCACGCGGATAGTGCTCCAGACATCTATACAGAGCTCCGACCGGCATAGAACGTCATGTGCGCCTTGCGTAGGACCTTTCGTTCTCGTTTTCACAATGTAAGTTTCGGACACAGCGCCTGCAGCAAACGTCTAGCTCGCAACACTACACCAGCGGTTACTACAGCAAGTTATCGTTCCTATTGCTGCATCTACGCTCCTACTAACTTTGCGGATTGGTCTGGAGCTCTGTAACTATACGCCAGCCCCGGAAATTCTGTTAAGTCTTAGTATGGCTGCTCAGATTGCTGTCAGTAGCATCATACGCCTCAACGCACAGTGCAATATGGCAGAAAAGGCTACTGCTGTTTCGACTATCAACGAGAACGTCTTGCAGTCTGTAGTGTCGACTCTACCTCAATTTTCAACTTCAACGTTTGCAAGTGCATCTCCAATTAATTTACCAATTCAAGATCAACAACTTCCTCTGCTGGAACTTCAACTTCAGCAGCCATCACCGACTGATATCGAGTTATCATCGACCGTACCTGTCCGGCAAAGTGGTCGAGCGCGACGACCGCCTCAGCGCAAGCCTACCAGCGTACAGTGCAAGACCACGATCATCTAAAAAGTGATGTAAAGCCAAAAAAGCAGCACAAGCACCTGGCAAATGGATGGTGGCTTATATTAAAGATCGAATTACGACATGTACTGGCCAAATTCTCTATTGTGTGCTCTGGAAAGCTCAAATACACGGACGGCTTCCTCGGACTTGGGAGCCCCGCGACATGCTCTTGCAGGACGGAAGCAAGATTTTTTTCAATTCGTCTCGGAATTATATCCCAGTGTCGCCGGTGCAATCCTACTGGAGCTTGTTTGTTCCTTGCACTTCAACATGCACTTCTTTTGGCTGGCGAACCATTGGGGTTCGCAACTCGCACATTCAAAAAGGTATTTCTTGCTCGGATGAACATAAACAGGATCTGTCACGTGGAGTACCGTGGAGTATATTTCGTGCATTTAATTTACAAGTACATCTAGCCGGCTCTCGTATGTCAATGTGTGACATTGAAATGAATCGACACTGTAGTGGACCACGTGGTGTTGCTGCTATTACTAGAGTACAGGTAGAAGATTGCATATATCTAGTTGCAGGTAGCAATCCTACGACAGTTAGACATACATTCCTCCTCCAGGTCTGTGGTGCCCAGAAGACCGTCTACGACGAGACTACCAAGTGTTCATTGGCTTCCTACGGTGAATGGATCAATAGGGTCATGTTTGCTCGTAAAGTGATTCTAGATGAAAAATGTTTTTAACAAATATACTTTTCAATTCCCCTCTAAACATCCAATTTAGGTTTATTCTTTTCAGGTTTTATCCTTTAAGATTTCCTTGGTAAACAGCCACCAATTATAAATTTCCATTAATGAAGAAGATAATATAAAGTGAACATTAGAAAAGTACATTGTAGTGAAGGTACTATTCAACTATGATACTGAAAAAAATTGAAGTAATGCAATCCTGTGACTCAATTGAAAGTGTAAAGTGATGCATATTTTGTTGAATTTATTTTGGTTTAGGTTGTTTGGCTTCATCGTAATTCTTTGAGAGAACGCATGCCTAGTTGGCTTCATAAGTTTTTAAATTGGTGCCTTGGTAAAAATTTCGGCTATCATTGTATTGGTGTTGCGGTAAAGGACACTAAATTCGTGTCGCTCGACTTTTTCTTGGACAAAGTGATATCGAATATCAATGTGCTTCGAGCGGCCATCCAATTCAGGGTTGTTTGGAATTTGATGCAACTTTGGTTGTCTTCTTTAATAGTGGTAGCTATAGCGGTTTGAAACCCAAGTTCTCTAAGTTACAGCTTTAAGAATATCGATTCTTGCATACAATGACATAGTGCAATATATTCAGCCTCTGTGGCCGAGAGCACTACATTGTGATTCTTCCTTGACAGCCATGAAATTGAACTTTGATCTATCATTGTGATATAACCCCCGACTGAACGCCTAGTGTCAGGGCAGTTAGCGTAGTCCGAGTTGGTGTACGCAGTTAGGTGGTCAGCAAAATTGCTTGCATCAACTACATTTGATCCACCCAGTAGTAGACTGAGGTCATCTGTTTCAGAGAGATACTTGAGCCCTCTGATTACTGCTTCCAGTGTTCAGCACCAGGGTTAGTAAGGAGCTGGCTTACATCACGCATGTAGTATGCTAGATCAGGCCGGATGCCGACCATAAGGTACATGACACTACCCACAACTTCTCTATACGGAATCACTTCGTCATTTTTCTATTGTGTCTGAGGTTCCATTTCATTTGTGAGTTTCACATTGCGGTCTGCTGGCGCCACAACTGGAAATGTTATCAAACGTTTGAACCAAAATCTAATACAGTGGTTGCATACTTGCGCTGGTGAATAAATACCGTTCTGGCTTCGCGGTTGCGCTCAATGGACCAGCCGAGGATGTACGTTATCTTCCCTAAATCTGTCATGGAGAATCGTTGCTGCAGGGCTGATTTGATACAACATACGAGTCGAACGGAGGGTGCAATGATAAGCAAGGCATCAACGTAAACCGCAACATAGCATATCTGACCGGCAATTTTGGCCATAAAGACGCATCGGACCTTGATGAGTTTGTGAAATCCGAGGCTTTTAAGAAATGCCGACAGGGTCTCATACCAAATACAGGGTGCGTCTTTCAAACCATAGAGACTTTTGAGTAGTTTGCACTCTAGATGTTCTTCACCCGGGGTGACGAAACCTTTAGGCTGCTTCACGTAAATTTCTCTTCTGGAGATCCATTGAGAAAAGCAGTTTTTACGTCCATCTGGTGCACTTCGAGGTCAAGGAGGGCGGCGATGGTCAACAACAGCCGGAGCACCTCCATGCAAATGACGGGTGCGAATACCTCGTTGTAGTCAACACCGTATTGTTGCAGAAAGTCTTTAATAGCAAGTCGGTCTTTAAACTGATCCATTTCACCAGATCCAGTGTATTTGACAACAAACACCCACCGGTTTTGGAGCACCCTTTGGTTTTAGGCAGGTCGACCAGTTTCCATGTCTCGTTTGTCATGAGTGACTTGTAATCGGAGTCAGCAGCTGTGCGCCATTGCTGATTGTATGACGATCGCATGACTGCTCCATAAGATTGAGGTTCAGGCGTATGGCGGATCGCTAAAATGCTGAGAATCAACGAGATGCGGGTTTCCGCTTCCTGGATGTCATCAGGTGAATCTAGATCTCCGATACGAATCTCTTCTCCGTATCGAGGTCAATTAGATGAGGGCTCGCTCCATAATGGTGCGCATTTGTCGTTCTGCAACGCCATTCTGTTGTGGTGTGCACGCGTTCGTAAACTAAGCATGTGTTCCGAACTGTGTGAAGATTAAACGCCCTAGGTTCTCATATTCTTTGGTGTTGTCGGCTTGCAGCACCTGAATTTCAACATCAAAAGATGGAAAGGTGTACTCGAGAGTTTGGACATCTCTGCGGAATATTCAACGTTTTCATTCGAAGATTCTCGTAGCATGAATAGAACTGGATACGCACTTTGATGGGGTATGCAAACATATAGCGACTAAAGCCATCGGTGAATATCACAAAGTAACGACAGCCACTGAGGTTTTGATGGGAAGAGGACCACAAATATCAGGATGAACCTTTTGTAGTGGACCAGAAGAGCGTACAACATGTCTATTAGATACGGTGTGACTTTGCGTAGGTACATGCAGAGCAGAAAAACGAATCTGGACGAGTTACATTAAATGTGTCGAGTCCTGTGAGCGCTTTGTCCTAGCGAGCGTCTGTAATACACGGATGTTAGGGTGTCCAAGACGTTTGTGAAATGTCACAAGTAGGTTTTGCTTACCTGTAGTAGCCACGTGAGCTTCTTGCTTCTAGGCAGGAAGAGCTGTGAGCTGGTACAGCTTGGAAGTGGCATATTTCATCGCCTTGATGTTGAAGCGCTGGTTGGTGTGAACACTGCACATGGTCCACTTAAAGTTGAAGCGATAGCCGTTATCAACAGCAGCAGCAACCGAGAGAAGGTTATACTGCTACTTGGGAGCAAGGAGGACGTCGTGCAGTAGTAGTGCCCGCTGAGTCCCCTTCAAATCGAGAACCAGGATCTCAACCGTGCTAATTGCTTGAATCGGGACCTGCGACTTTTTACCCGCTGTGATACTCCATTCGCAGCAGTCTTGGTCTTGAACCATTCGGCATGCTGTGTCACGTGACTGCTGCAACCGGAATCGATGGCCCGACTGGTGTCAAGGTCGGTATTGGCTTGATCCCGGAGGCTAACGGCCGATGTGTCGGTCTGTACCGCGGAAACAACTGCGACTAGAGCATCCTTGCGACGAGACTGATCGTAATCTTCGTAACGGCGAGATGATTGGGAATTGTTTTTGTTGTTGCTGTTGTTGTTATTGCGTTGTTGCTGTTGTTGTTGTTACCGCGATTCCCACCACGTCCACGACCTCCATTGCGACCACCACGACCACCTTGATACCACGACCCGCCACCACGATTGCTATTGACTTGGTCGTTGTTGTACGGATGGCTCCGGTAGTTGTTGGTACCACGAAGTGAGCTGGTAGAACCATGCCAGCCTTAACGGTGCCACTTCGCAGGTTCTTCTGCAGACCACGACACTGACAGATGTTGTACCGAGGCTTTTGACAATAACGGCAGGCATCTAGTGAGACCAGCGTCTGTGTGCGGATTCATGCGTAGGTGCGAACAGGGCTCGCTCAATCTTAGTACCTTGGCTTTCAGGGGTTCCCATCGCAAGACTGTAGCACTCCTGTGCTTGGAGCTCACGGACCTTCGCCTCAATGATCACCTTGAGCTCTTCATACGGGATAAACTTCCGCATATCTTTCCAGACTCGAAGATCATCTTTCCAACTCTTTGGCATGGAGTGGGACAAGTTTAGCGACTTTTGCCCATCGGTCAAGGTATACTCGGTTGCTTCGGAAGCGGCTTTCATCGCGTTTTCCAGCTCCAAGAAGAAGTTTGTGAAACCACTGCCTTCTTCGTACTTGATTTCCATAAGGAAATGCTGGATGAAGTAGGATTCGCCATGGAAGGCCGCACCATCGTACTTCGTACAGATGGTTTGGAAGATGTCGAAGGCTGTCATAAGATTCTTGACCAGACAGATATGAGTATCGTCCATCGTCTTCATCAAGAATGTCTTGGTCTGCGCTGCCATACGACAGAGTTGACAAGCAGATGAAGGAACAGGCTTTTCCGTCTTGGTTCGATTATGACCATGCTCAGTATTGCGTTGATCAAACGGGCAGACAGAAGGTAGATGGCTTTTTTTTTACTTTCTTTCCAGACGGGTTGCTGTTGTCGCCATCACTTGGTTGCAGCTCGTCCAAGCTGTCCTCGAAGTCGACCTCCTCTGAGTCGATCTCGGTAGATACCGTAGAGTTGGGCGTGTCTTCATCGTCGGGCATGTCGGAGCCGATTGCAGAGTCTTCATCTTCATCATCGCTGACCCCATTGTGGTCCTTCTTGGTGACGAAACCGAGGTGATGCTTGCCGTCAAGCAAAGCGCTCATTCGGGGCCTTCCAGACGTCGGAGTTGCGGGCACCGGCAAGCCGAGGGAAGTCGTCACTCGAGACTTGGCTGGGACTCATGACCTGTGAAAGGTAGCACGGGAGCAGTGTAGAAGTATAGGACCATGAACAATGAAGAGAAGAAAGAAAAAAAAAGTAAAAGTGAGATTAAGAGTTAAGTAAACAGGTTAGACTTGCTGCTTACAACAATAAGTTAGTATGCGGCACTTTGAAATACTGTATAGAGTTGCCGCTACCAGCCATTATCTAAAGTGTATCGGTCATTTTGGTACATTAGATATAAGAGTCACAATTACCTTGTCCTTTCATTATTAATTTATAAAGGACACGATGTAGAGGTTCGAGCCTTAACCTCAACATAATCTATACTACTCTTGTCAAATTCCCCCTATACAGTGGTGCACCTCGTTTTCGACACCGGTATGCCTCTATAACCTTCATAATTTGATGATTACGCTCTGTGCATTGCGCAAATCGTTTGCCCATCACCGTTGGCCGAATTAACCTCAATGGTTTTCCCCTCCTCGAGGAGGGATGACACGTCGCGCCGCAGCGACCTCACTCTACTGAACAGACGAGTAAATACTGAGGCTCACTTTATTTTTTGCTGCATCATACCATGGCACGTCGCCCCTCCGCCTATTCTACTCTAAGTCTCGCTGACAAGCAGACGATATGCTGCAAAGCTGCTGCTGAGCCATGGTGGACAGTAACTGAGCTCGCAAAATGGGCAACGCAAAAGTTTCAAGTCCCCGTCAAGCGCACCACTCTCCATGGCATTCTCCAGCGCAAGCGCGACTATACATTCATTCCAGACACGCACTCTCTCCGCAAGCGGCTCTGTACCAGTAGGTTTGTTTTATGGCACGTGTTGCTGCTCCAGACTGGGAGAACGCCTTACTGACACCATACAGTATGGTAATGGCACAACAAATCTGTGTCAGCACCGTAGAAGCTGCTCTCCACATAACAGTGCGTGTTAGCACAGTACCCAGCACAATACAAGCGGACAATACGGGAAGCACGCAAAAAGGGTGCCTGTAGGGTGAAGCTGGGCCAGCGGAGACCAGCCCTTTGCAGTGTGACCCACATCATTCCCCGAAAAGCGACCAAACATGCCTCCACGGGTGAGCTGGTGAGAGATCGCCGTAGATGTAGACGGCGCTGAAGCCGAGGCGGTGGTCGCGAACCTGAAGTCCTTTGACATTCGTAAGTCCCAAGCGATGGCGTGTACAATCTGTCCGGGCGGCGACCACAAGATGCGGTATCGACTGGTAGAATGCAGTTCAGCGTCCTGCACCGACGTGAGCCCCGTGAGGTGCACATGGCGGGGAAAGATGCTGACGTGCTTGGAGTCTGAGCGGGCCTCCATCTTCGAGTTCGGGGAGCACAACTCGGCCTCCTCCTCCTTACCATTCCCAGTGCGCAAGAAGCTGACCCAGGTCCAGAAGGCGTTTTGCCGGGACTTGGTTCAGAACCACCTGCGACCCATGCGCATAAGACACGCGATGGCACGCAAATTTGCCACCCCACTGGAGGAACTACCAGCGCTGAAGACGGTGCAAAACTTCGTGAATCACTACGCTCGGACGCAGATGGAAAACCACGACCGCGTCCAGGACTTGACGAAGTGGGTCCGCGAGCACGCGTACGACGCCTCGAAGTCCATGACGGAGCCCGTCACGTTCACGTGGGATCTGGACAACGCTAGATTGCCCGTCATCGGCAACGGCTCGGACCACAAGCCGTTCCTGGTTGGGATCACTACTAAAGCACTGATGCTACGGCTAATGGTCCCGCCTGAGAGCTTCATACTCCACCTGGATGGAACCTACAAGACGAACCAGAAGGACTACCCCGTGTTGGTAGTCGGGGTCTCTGACCGCTCGCGCAGGTTTCACTTGGTGGCTATGTTTGTGATGTCACAAGAAACTGAGCCAATGTTCCAGGCAGCGCTGCTGTCCCTACGGCGCCTATACTTCTGGATCACAGGAAACCATTTGACCGTCCAGTACACGATGGCCGACGGCGATAGAGCTCAGTACAATGCTCTCGCATCAGTCTTTGGGGACAACCCGCGATTTTGCTTCCTGATGTGCTTCTTCCATGTGATGAAGCACGTCCAGGAGCGGGTCAAGCTTTTTCCCTCGGACGCACAAGCTCGTGTGCTTAGAGAAGTATACGACTTGCACTTTGCGCGAGACCAAGGGCAGTATATGGAGATGCTGCGCGGTATTCTGGATCGCTGGATGGCTGACCCGACCCTAATAACGTTTGCTCACTACTTCTACGGGCAGTGGGTCATTAGACCGTTCAGGACGTGGCAGGTTTTTGCTACGCCATGCGGGTTCGCTTCCACAAACAACCCGGCGGAGAGCTTCAACGCCCTTTTGAAGCGTGACTACACGTTGCGCCGACGGCTGAAGATGGGCACGCTGCTATGTGAGCTGAGCGGGTGTTGCCAGGACCAGTCCAGCAGCACCAGAGCGTTTGAGTATGCGGTGGTTCCGGCACAAACCCTCGCACGGAGGGTGTCCGAGATGGTGCGGGAGCGATACTTAGGTGTTGCTGAAGGTCAGGATGTCGAGTACGTGCGCTCAGGAGCGTCCTGTATCCTGCGTATAATATCACTGCCTGCAGGCCGCGTTTCCGTCGCGCCAAACAAGCGCAGCGAGGAGGCGATAGCCGTGTCGGCGCAAATGGGTATCAACTACGCGCGGAAGGAGTACGAGGGGGGGCCCGACGACGGCTGGCCCCTGAACGTCCAGACTCAGATATGTCCATGCGATTACTTTTTTGCTTTCGGCGCGTGCGTTCATCTACTGTTTGCATTGCGCGTTACAGCTCACGTGGATAGCAGCGGGCGCGAAGTTTTGATCAATCGTCGTAAGAGAAAGCGGGGCGAAGTGTCAGTTCTCCCTGATCTTGGACGCCCGAGGACAATTGGAGCTGCGCTTAGCTTTGAGTGATTCTGCCTGCACGGATCCCCGAGAAGGTTCTGTTACATGGCCAGAATAACTTTGTTCCGTTTATCCTATGAATACACGAGTGAGCAAATGACCGATTTCATACTCCTTCTTCTTGTGGTTATCTACAGCATTCTGCTAGCGAACTTCTCACATCGTTTTGATAATTACAGAACGATAGCTAAAGGGAACTGCGGGCACTAGAAAAGATACACCGATAGCTGTTCCTACTCGTCACCACTGCTTTCTCCCGTTCTGCTCGGCTCCTTCCAGCAAAGGTCACAGGCGCATTTGAACCAGCGCTCGTTGCCGTAGTGCACGGTGATCTGAGCGCCTTCCTGCACATTCTTAATCATCTTTACGAGCACTCGGACGCGAGAGCGCGTCTGCTGCTCCAAAAAGGTGGCATTCGGTTCGGAGGAGTGAGAGATGAAGCGTGTAATAGAGCCACATCGCAAGGCGTCAACGTAGACGTAATTATTGTTCACGGATCTGGTGTTGTAGAGAAGCGTGTATCCTGTGTTTGTCTTCACGGCCTGTTGAGGTTACCCTCCACCACTGCGGGGAGCTCTGACAGCTCTCCACAGTACTCCCCGAGTACGTCTCCGACATCGAGATCCGTGGTCGTGTAAACGCCGAGACCCACCCGTCCGGTATCGAACAGCTTCAGCGAGCTTAGATTGCGAGGTGCGTTACTGCAAATGGCGCCCAGTTTGCAGTATTGGGGCATGCAGAAGGACGCCGATGCCACGTTTGTGCAGGTATCCCAAAAGCAGTCGCCAAAGCACTTGCACGGGTCGTAGCTCCCAATATCAGGAAACTTCACCCCGTTGCGCTTGCACGTGGTGATCCTCTCGATCTCTGCTGGCCAGGCTACAGTCTTACATAGAGTTCGACACTGCTTCTGTACTGGATCTGAATACGTAGACCGCTTGGTGTGCAGGATCTCCAACTCCTTCTTGATCTCGGGACTGTTCCGCAGTTTATTAAACTTCACCGCCTTGACGGCCTTCGCGTGGTAAATCATAGAGCCGCTCCTCGTCACCGCACATTTTGCCAGGTTTCTGCGTTGTCTAGACCTTGGAACTAGCCACTGCACCCTTTTCGCCTTCGGCTGGTGGCGGATCTTGGCACGGGCGTGTCGGTTAGGTATCGACTACACGGACACAGCAGAGTCGGAGGCGGAGTCGGAGGAGACTATGCCGCTGCTCTTTTCGGGTGATACAAGGTCAATTATCTCTCTCACCGCTGACGTTCCAGAGTCCCCTCACATGGAGAACATTCACCTGACACCGTAGATCGTCCTGCAAATACCGCATCCGGAGTAGAGACACGCGGCGGGGTGCTGGGTGCCACGACGTGGCTTTGGTTTGTCTGCGTGATCGGGGAGCTGCTTGCGCTGCTCGGTGGCGTTTCCAGCACGATATCCTCGGGTACATGTTCACGTTCTCTACGAACGGCCTCGTATGCCGCTGCGACAGCCGCTTGTAGGGTACTATTCAGCGCACTGGACCTCGTTGGAGCGGAAAAAGTTCCTGGGACCAACTCAAACGTCCGAACCTTACGCCACTTTGTCTTGACGCGTGCCAGGGGGTTGCCGAGGCAGTTTGCCACCTTCTTGACCATCATGTCCGTCGGTATCGGTTCCTCAGTGCTTACAGTGACGGGGAAGTCCACGTCGTCACCGCCGTCGACACAGGTGACGACGGCGCGACGATACCCTCGGTGGTCGCCGCAGACAAAGGCACGGGATAAATACTCTATCGTGTCCCCAGCGTGGAGCGCCTCCGGTGGCAGCTCTGACGCACTGAGGCCCGGCATCGCCCTGTGGTGTGCGCTGGACGCCGCAAGCGAGTTGCAGGTCAGGGACCCTGGGGCTACTGGGGCTTTCTGGACAATGAAGCGAGCCACTCAAAGATGCACTGGTGTCACATTCGTGCACATTAATGTCACAAATGGAAACCATGATGCGCATTGCCTGCATATCCACCTCCTGTGCAAGGCTGTGCGCAGACGAGCACCGGGGCAGCGAAGCTTGCCCTGTCCGTGCGTATTGTGGGTGATGGGCTACTGTGTTGATCAGATTCTAACCTGTGTTTGTTACTTCCTCCGTCCGAAAATATAAGGCAGTTTGTCCAAAAATTTCATTTTTAAGCTCAAATCATCGTATGAAGGTTCATTAATTGGCTAATAGTAAGGCGCTCCGCGTAATGATGCGATTGGTGGTTTTCACGAATAAATCGTTGGCTAGAAGTAAAGTTACGATCTTCGGAACAGTGCTACTTCATCCCACTCTAACTTTTTTCTTCGTCGTTCCTACCCATGGCTATTCCCACCGCTCTAAAGTGCCGCACCCGCAAGAACCTTACCCCAGCCGAGCGTGCTGAAGTTATCGCCTACCTCCTGAGTGTTAGTACCGAGCTAT